TCATGACTTCTTCATTTCAAACCCGTTTTCAGTTTTCTTTATATCTTCGCGGAGGTGGGAATGAGTTCTACAACTCCATTAAGTCACTTTGGATTGAATACTTATAGGTCTAAATCTATTAAGTTGCAAATTTGCCACTAAAGGCATAAAATTCCTATTGTAACCTTTATGGCGTAAATGCACAATCTCTTGCATTTATTCACTTGAAACCACATATCTTATCTTATAAAGGTCACTTAGACTTATCTCGACTCATTCCATGAAGTTTCATCTTCTCATTTCATGAAATTCCTCTAAATGGTCAAATTGCCCTTTTGGTAAAAACCCTCTAAAAGTCAATTCTTTCTAACACATTGGGTTCTTACAGTAGATGTTGACTTGTTAAAAAGTCATAGATACGCGTCAGAAGTTCCTTGTCGAGTTTTTACATTTGTGGACCCTTGTTTGTTTTTTAGTGTTGTTCATTAGGAATTTGGGCTACCATTGATGGGGTATTAGTTCTGGAGACTTCGAATTGTAGTGTTTGTTGTAGATCTCTTGGATGATTTATCAGGTTGTTGCGTACCTAAGTTGGGATAGGAGCAGTAGGTTAATGATGACTTGTCAGGAAGTTAAATGTGCATCTGAGGCCCTGTTGGCATGAAGTTCTAGACTTGAGATCGTTTGAGTTGTTTTAGTCAGCATGTTTCGAGTACTCGTTTTGATATATGATAGTAGTGTTCCTATTCAAGTAGGACTAGGGGATGGATATGTCATGAGGATGATTGGCAACCTGGAATATAATTCATGAGGATTCCAAACCGAGAAATTTCCATTCTTACAAGTTTAATGTTTGGTTTATATAGAGGCTGCAACCATCAGTAGCAAGTTTTTGTGTGTTGCTGTAATATATTTTTCTACGTCGAGTTGATTATGACCCAGATTTAAGAAAATCAAGCTCGTACATGTCTCAATAAAGTATAAACTTGACCAAACCTATACATTTTTCGCAAAAACCAAAACTACACCTATATACTTTCAGAAACATAGCCTCCAAATTTCGTTAGAATTAGCTTTAACACGAAAAATAGAACTAAAAAATGGGTATTATAATATATTAACAATAAACAACGTAAGTTTATTCTATTGATAATACAAATTTCAAAATATATTTTCTAATGCGAGGTTGTACAAGTAAATTCATCGTGAATATATTAATTTAGAATTCCGATTTCAAGAACATTTTGTAATTAAAAAGCTGAGAACTAAATAATTAAATATTGTCTGCAATTATTTTGTAAGAAAATAAATAAATTAAAAGGTACATTATTAATAGAATATTAGACAACTTGTTTACTGAAAATGACGCAAATTCTCTCTCATTAAACCTCGTCACAACAATAATTGATGCCTTTTTTTTTTTTTATGTCTTTATTTTCTAAAAACCAGTAGTTATATACTTTGTGATTAATAAAATATTTTATGAATATTTTAAGTAATTCTTAATCAAACTTTAATCATTTACGTAGGTTCAGTGTACTTTTTCTGGTGTACATAACATTGTGATTGATGTTTGATGAAAAATTCGGAATGTATGTGACGTTGTTATTTTTTTATTATTATTATTTTTTTTTAACTCAAGCTGAAAATATATAGCGATTGCATGTTAATAGGTTTGAAACTTGAAACTGATTGCAAATACACAATGAAAATTTAAATATATTGTTATTATTTTTTATTCGGTCTTCATGGCGGATTTACTAAATTGAACGGGGTAGTATAGGTTATCCTTCAAAATTCCCATCAAATATAAATTTAGTGAAAATTCGTCAAAATCTTTTACAAATCCATTGGCAATCAATCACAAAGTCTAATAATTGTGAAGTTAATATAAACTTGTCATTTTATTGATGATTTCGTGACAAAAAAATGAATTTAGAAATGAGTTTTTTCTATTAGTACAACCCCTACAAATTTAATGTAACCCCTTGACTTTTTTTTGGATCAGCCAATATATATATATATATATATATATATATATATATATATATATATATATATATATATATATATATAAACATCTAAAAGGTTGAAACGCGAGAACAGTTTTGGATCAAGCAATATATAGGAAAATTTTCATATATATCCTTCCAAACATTAAGAATTACGTGTATATCCTCCCAAAGTTTAGAATTACGTATATATCCTTCTTAACATATTAAACTCTCATATATATCCAATCCTATAATTTAACGAAATATTAATCAATTTAATATCAAAAAATCTATTTTAAAATCATAAATACAAATAAATTTACCAAAATACCCTTTACATATTATATCCAAATTAAATCTTATTTTTTTTATAAATCGTACATCAGTCAAAACGATTCCCTCGATCATCCATCCCAGATCCACCTTTCTCCTACCCCCAAAATCGAGTTCATCTCTCCCTCCTTCCATCTTCCGGTCTCCCTCACAGCCTCATCTCCTCCGTCGCCGTCCCTGCCATGAAAAGGGTTATACCCACCTCCGACGTCTCTACTTCCTATCTCTTTTCTCATTAATCCTGTATTTCTCTCTTTCTCTCCTCCTCCCTGTCATCACCTCCTTACCTCCTCCGTCGCCGTCCCTGCCATGAAAAGGTTTATACCCACCTCCGACATCTCTACTTCCTATCTCTTATCTAATTAATATTGTCCTTCTCTCTTTCTCTCCCTCTCCCTGTCCTCGCCGACATAGATCAAGAGCAGGTTGAAGACATTAGCGACACCTTGCCACTCTCACTTCCAACAATGCTTCTTCTACTACGGATAGAGACAAGACATTTGCTGGTATAATCGATCGTGCTATGGAGAAAGAGTTCACTGAGAATGATCAGAACGAAGGTTGGCTTATTTGATCTGATGCTTTTATTTAGGGTTTTACAATGTATGCTTTCAATTGCTTACTAGGATTCTAATTACTGCATTTTTTTTTATTTCTTTCTTCCATGATAAAAAGGGAATTCAATAGATCATCCATTATCATTGGTTACTTCAGGAATTGAATCTTTTCTTTTTAATTGAAAATGTTAGGGCTTCCATTTTATATGATTCTTTTGTAGCTATATTGTTACCTAACTTTAGAGAACTTTCATCTGGAAGCTCAAGTTTGACTTGTGATTAGAAAGAAAGAACAATATTCAAATTTTATATGGATTTGTTAATTAGCATGGTTATCAAACTTAAGCTTTTATGACATAATCATCTTAAAGGTAGAATTGATATAATACAAAAGTACCAATAAATAATCTTCCTAAATCCTAACTGAATTTGCAGAAGAGGATGCAGGCAGCTTCAATAACAGTGTTGTTGGGCAACATGTTGTTCTTTAAATTTTAATTCTTCTGGTTCACTGAACCCATATTACACACCAATGTTGTTGTTCTTTCAATTTTAATTCTTCTAGTTCACTGAACCATATTACACACTAATGTTCAATTTTTTATTCTGAGTACAATAATTGTGTATATAATACTCAATTTGAAAATTATCTTCTACAATGGTTGTTTGTGTAGACACTAATATATTATTTTTCTTATGTTTAGTGAGACTAAACGAATCATTATACAGTGTTAAGAGTTTTGGATAAATTTATTTGTCGAAGAAAGAATGGTGGACACCTTTTATTGTTTTGGGTCTTGAGAACATCATCAAATATCTGAATGCAAATTGGAAATCAAGGAGCTCTGGTAACAAGGTGACAAATGAGGCTGAGTTATCACTAACATCACATCTACATGAAATTCTGGTAGAAAGAGAGCTAATGAGACCGAACCCGATTTAAAAGCAAAAAAAATTAGTAGGGTGTTATTTCTTTAGGAATTTAGAAGCCGTCTCATAAGTAGAGTGTTATTTTAATGTTGTTACTATTGTTTTGTCAAAGTTGAGTGTTATTGTTTTAGAATTTTATTTTCTTTGTATTGTAACTTTCCCAGCATCATGTTGGTTTTAATTTTAGCAATTCATAAAAAAAAATAAACAAAAAAGTTTGATGTTATTTCATTGTTTACCATGAAGTGATGATAATTTTGTAACATGTTGGATATGTTCATGTTGCATAAATACATTACATAAATAGTCCTTGTAGCCGAAAATACATTATAGAAATAGTCCCTATAGCAGAAATACATTAGAGAAATAGTCCCTATCGCAGAAATACATTACAAAAATAGTCCATGTGCATAAAAACATTACAAATATGGTCCATGTTTCAGAAAGATATTACATATATAGTCTATGTGTCAGAAAAACATTTAAAAATTGTCCATGTGCACAAAAATATTACAGATTTGGTCCATGTTTCAGAAAAAACATTACAAATATGGTTCTTATTTTAGAAAATATTACAGATATAGTCTATGTGTTAGAAAAACATTTAAAAATTGTCCATGTTTACAAAAATATTACAGATTTGGTCCATGTTTCAGAAGAAACATTACAAATATGGTCCCTTTATCAGAAAAATATTACAGATGTAGTCTATGTGTCAGAAAAAACATTTAAAAACGGTCCATGTGCACAAAAATATTACAGATTTGGTCCATGTTTAAGAAAAACATTGCACATATTGTCCCTATTTCAGAAAAACAAAAAAAAAATAACATTACAGATATAGTCCCTGTTTCAGAAAAATTATAAAAATGGTCATTGTGCCCAATAACAATTACAGATATGGTTCATGTGGCAGAAACTCATTACAGAATTAGTCCATATGGCAAAAAAACATTACAAAAATGGTCCATATGCAGACCCTATAGCAGAAAATGTTTATATAAATGGTCCTTGTTAGAGAAATACATTACATAAACAATCCCTATGGCATAAATTCATTAAAAAATGGTCCCAAAATAGATATATATATATATATATATATATATATATATATATATATATATATATATATAATCAAATTTTAAATGGTTTTTCTCATGCAAATTCTTCCGAACAACAAAATTAAAAAAATTAAACAATCCATGCTGAAAGCATTAAAGTACTAAAATGTAATGAAACTCATAACAAAAACTCATGATGTTTTATGTTCTTTCCTCTTGCTAGAGGATGCTTCCTCAAAACCTTGAGACGCAGGATTTTTGCAAGTCCTTTGATGATGTCCATATAAACCACAACGGGGACATCTGTGTCTTTTCTTGGGCTCATCATGTGGTATAATTCTATTCTTTTTAGGTCGTTCGGGCGGTCGTTTTATAATAGGTGGGTATATTTTATCGAATGTCTCTATATTCACCCATTAATCTTTTCCGGGCATTGGACCAATTTCTAAAGCATATGCTTCTTTAAACTTGTCGACTGTGAAATATGTATCAACATATTTTTCCCAGCTAGGCTCCCTTGTGAAAGCAATAAAAGCAGCTGCATGCACACATGGAAGGCCTGTAACTTGCCATTTTCGACAAATACATTTTTTCTCATCCAATACAACATCCCAACGATATCCTTTGAACTTCACTTCTGCTTTATTATCACTACTTCTACAAATTTGATATTCACCCAAGTTCTACATGAGAAAATAAAACAAGAACAAACTAATATCAGGTAAAATACATATGTTTAATGCAAAAACAATTATGTATGTATATAGTTCATTAACTTGCCTTAGTGATTGTTTTGAGATACTTCTTTGCTTTTGGAACTAATGGTCCTTTCCATTTTTTCACCTTACTCCTTTTATTGTCAAATCTTTCCATAAGCTTTTCTCTAATTGCATCTAGGAGATCAAGCACCGTTTTATAACGTATGTCACCTACCCAAGAGTTAAAAGTTTCTGAAATATTGTTGGTAATGTAATCACACTTAACAGGTGTGCCAAACTTACTTCTACTCCATATCTTTTTATGGTTCTCGTTCAAATATGAAATTGCATCTGCACATTTAGTACCAATTTCATTTAACAATTTATCATGCTTACTAACAGAGTAGGTATTTGCAGCCTCCCATAACTTGGTCATGAAAAAGTCACCTCGAAAATGTTTTTTGAAGTTGCTACATAAATGTCTTATGCATTCTCGATGCTCAATATTAGGATAAACCTGTGTAATAGCTAATTCCAACCCCTTTTGCATGTCAGAGGAGATAACAAGACCATTTGGTGTACCAATGGCTTTTTGTAGTGACGTGAGAAACCAAGTCCATGATTTTGTATTCTCTGCCTCAAGCACACCATAGGCTACTGGAAACATACCATTGTTACCGTCGATACTTGTGGCAGCAGCTAACACACCATTAAATTTCCCTTTCAAATGACAAGCATCAAGCCCAATGTATGGAAGACAACCAGCAAGAAATCCCTTAGAGCATGTTTTTAATGATATAAAAAAGCATAAGAAATGTTTCTTTTCACCCACTATCTGCAAATCAATCTCCACCACACTTCCTGGGTTTCTCTTTTCAAGTTCTTGTTTGAAATAAAATATATTTACATAAGAGTCATCCCACTTGCCATACATATCGGTGTAAGCTTGCTCTCTTCCTCTAAAAACTCTCATATATGGTACTTCAACATTGTAGGTATGCATAAGCCACTTTTTTAGGTCGGCAGAAGAGACATCGCCTTCAGATTTCAACTTGTCGGTGACAACATCAGCAATCCATCCTTGAGTGGCATGTTTGTTACCGCTCTTGTTGCTTCGAGTACAAGAATGAGTTTCTAAAAATTTCTTGACCTACAAAATTGCAAAAGAACATATAATTATGTTAACATAATAACAATGTCAACGAATTTAATATTTCTCAAATTTTATACTTACTTCAAAAGTAACCCCATCTTGTGTAAGACAAGCATGAATTCTCCACTTGCACTTTTTATCTCCACAACATGCTGTAAGTCTTGTCAAATCACTTTTCTCAATGACATACTCAAATTCATTTGTTAGTGCATAATGATTTAATGATCTTCTAAAAGCAATTACACTTAGGAATTTAGAATTCACTTTCATAAATGGATTCATCTTACTATATGCATAAGTTTCACCATAATTTAGAAGCTCATATTCATTCTCGGAACTATGAAGACTATGATAGCTTTCTTGACTTGGACAAACTGAGTCTGACTCATTTTCATCATCAGACTCGTCAATAACTTTATCTTGACAACTTAACGGTTTAGGGTTATACCTTAATTTTTCGGTTGTCGCATAAATTGTTACTTCTTTATCCTCATTATACATGTTTAGCATCACCATGAAGCTCTTATCATTATCAAGTTCAATAAAGCATTGCTCTTTTGCATATTTATCAACAAATACTATTGACAAAACAATATCACTTTGTGACAGATAATGTGTTTTCACCTCTTCAACTGGATGATTTAAGTCGTATGAAAATGTGTCTATATAGAGACATTTTGTAGATCCAAAGCAATACACTTGCCTACATTAGTTCCTAGCTAACCGAAAGAAGCCTCCATATTTCAATTTAAACTTGAATTCCGATATTACTTGTCTGATAACCACAATGAAAAAAAACAGTTAATAAATCTGAAGGACACATAAAGTATCATCAAATGTTGATAAAAACTTACTCAATTATCAGTGAGTGAGCACTTATGTCCCATCTTGGTGCATCAACTTCATTATCCATCAAATAGGAGGATAATAAACTATCTATTACAAACCACGAATGCAGAACCAAAAATTAATCGAATGCAAAAAGTTAATCAAAACCAAAATTAATCGAAGGAATGGGTTTAGAATGTGAAAATAACCTGATTTACTACTATGATTGTAGCAACGATATTGGAAGAAACGAAGATAGACAAGTGGAGATTTCACGTAATCGAAGAAACGATTGTAACAGCTTGAAGAAGAAAAAAACGTGATTAGAGATTTTGCGTTTTTGGGTTTATGGGTTTAGAATTCACGTGTTTGAGGTTTTGGCATATTAATTAGGTTAGGTTTAATGCTAATTAATTCTATTTAGTTCTATTTATTAATTATTAGGAAAGGGTAATTTAGTACAATCACCTTTTATTTTGATTTTTTAATATATATTTTTGGTTTTAAATTGATTAATACCTCATTAAATTATAAGATTGGATATAAATGTAATTTTAATAGGTTAAGAAGGATATATACGTAATTATAAACTTTGGAAGGATATAGACGTAATTCTTAATGTTTGGAAGGATATATATGAAATTTTCCCATATATAAATGCATATTAGTAACTGTATATTTTAATTAAATTAAAAAAAAAAATCAATCAAATCCCCTTAAATTTAGGATCAGTTACTAAAAAACAAAGAAATATTTTTTATTAATGGTTGTATAAAAACGTTTTTAGTCAAATTTATTTAAAATCTGAAAAAAAAAAATCTTAAAAAAATTATTATTTTCTCTTATTTCACGTTTTTGTTTTTCAAAAAAATGAATAGAAATCCACTCTCAAATCAATAAACTTTTATTCACAAAAGAATGTTTCTTCAAAAAACGTAACACTACTCCAATCAGAAATGAATGCAAATTAAATTACAAATAATTCATTAACATGAATAAACACACTCATTCACATGAATACACTACTATTCATAAATAAATAAAATCATTTACACATGAATACACTGTTATTCACGAATGAATACATTGTTATTCATAAATTAAAACACATTCTATCATAAAATGAATACCTCTAATCATAAAGAAATACACCAATTCACATAAATACACTATAGTTCATAAATACATACAACAATTCACTCATGAATACACTGCTATTCATAAATAATTACACATTCTATCATAAAGAAGTACAATACCCTTAATTAAAAGAACATGCAAAAACCTTCATAAATCTAAATTTGAAACCTTTCATCTAGCAATCCTTGCACATCTTCAAAAAACATTTCTCTATTTCTTCCTTATGAACATCACCATCTTTTGAAATTAAAGGAAGCTTCAGTCTCAGAGCAGCTTGAAAAGTATTCTGATCGAAGGCAGAACAATTTCATCTTCCTGTGTCATTTAAGATGGATGTCCGATTGCAATCTTAAAAGAAAGGCGGAAAAGAAAGGCGAAATGATTTCATCTTTAGAAATGATGAATCTGAGTTCTGGAAACAATAATCTGCGTGTGAGATTATAACTTAAGAACTTTAGATTATTTTACAATAAAATAAGGGAACAAAAGGTTAATAGAATCTTTATTTAATTTTCTTGCAGAAGTATAGGATGTCCAAATTCATCCTTGAATCATTCAAAGACAAGTTTAATTGGTTAAACCACTCCAGCCATCAAACTAAACCAAATGACCAACAATTAATGCTACAATTGAAATGAAATAAGTGAACAAAAGAAGGAAGGATTTCAACTACCTTCGACAATGATGAATCTGAGTCCCAAATCTGGAAACAATAGCTAGTTCGAAAGAGAAAGGCGAAATGATTTCATCTTCTTGTATCTCTCAAGACGGATATCCGATTGCGATATGAACCAGGTACACACCTCCCTCTCGGTTTTCCATGACTCGATTGCAATCTGAACCAGGTATACACCTCCCTCTCGGTTTTCCATGAATCGGGTTATAGGAGATCGATTGAGATCGAGTTGCATGAGGCTGACTGGAAATCTACTTGCAGGTCCGGTTAGGGCTATGAAGATCGAATGTGCAATGGAGGTAGGCTATGAGATGAATATATCGTGGTGTGCAAATGATGGAGGTGGTCAACTATTCAACCCTAGGTAGAGAGTGAGAAATGAGGGGGGGGTAGAGAGAGAGAGAGAGATATGACAATGGAAATAAGAGTGGGAATGAGAAATTATAGGATTAACCTAAATTTTCAATTACTATTATACCCTTATGCCATTTTTAAAGTTACACTTTACTACCAATAGTTTTAGAATTAACATAAATGACATGTTTGATATTAGCCTTAGATTTGAATATTTAGATGGGCTAGATGTATTCTCGCGTTCTCAACCTTTTATGTGACATCCCCAATTTCACGGCCAGAAAAGACCGATTTGTTTATGCTTTGTTTTTATAAAATCAGAGTAATCCTTTGATTAAAAGAAATGCGGAATTTGTTCCCAAAATAAAATATGATAAAATAAAATTTATCAAAGCATTTCTTAAAGAAATGTATTTTCATTAAATAACAAAATCTCGGGATGTCATGTTCCGATACAAACCATAAGCATAAACAATATAAAATAGACCTTACAACAATTATTTATAACTACTGATCTATAATCCAAAATCTCTCGTCAAGTCCACCAACTTATACCCTTGTGTCATTACCTGTAATACAAAGAAAACTGAGTGGGTCAGGTTTGGGAGCCTCGTGAGCATATAGGGTTTTCAACCCACAATAATACATTTATTATATTCAATCATCAAACAATAAACCCAAATACCCATCCCCATATTTCCTTTATTTTCTCAAGGGTTTACCCTAAGAACCCACTATCATTCATTCATTTATTCCTAAGGATTTACCTAAGAAATTGGCACAAAGTCCATTTCCTACCACGGTTTATACAACAGGCACTACGTCACATAGTCACCAGGGTTCATATAATAGGCACTATGTCTCATAGTCACCAGGGTTTACACAACGGGCATGAAGTCACATCGTCACAAAGGTTTATCAAATAGGCACGAAATCGCATCGTCACCAAGGCTTACTCAATAGGCACGAAGTCACATCGTCACCTACTATTCCATCTACCCATGTTCTACCCAACATTTTTTGTAGATATAAATACAAACACAATTTAAATCATTTAACACACGTATAAAAACATCAATTCAAAGCCCATCTCAAATAGACAAATAATATATAACACATAGCAGATATTTCATAGCTAATACTTTATGTTTATGTGTTAGCATAAAGTAACCATACACTCACTTGATTAGATGATGGTCGGATAGCACTACGGCTTGTAGAAGTAGTATTCATCGGTGAAAACGGGAAATCTTCACAAAAATCGAGCTTCTTGCGGGTAGAGCTGTTGCTCGGGAATTTCACTTCTCGGGATCTTTGGGCCTTCGGGACTTGCTTTGGGTCTCGGGAATGATACCGGGGCTTCGAGGTATTTCTTGCACGCAAAACGAGGTAAAAACAAGAGAGAAATGGAATAATAGAGCACCAAAACTCGGCTGCACTCGACATATGTTTATAGGGGTTGAAACCCCAAATTATGTTGGGCGTAATATTTAGTTAAGCTGGGCGTAACCTGGATAAGGTCGCTGACACCCCCCTGGATAATATCAAAATTTATAATTAAATTTAATATTTTATTTATTTACTAAACTTTAAAAATTCATATCTTCCTCATATGAACTCCGGTTTCGACGTTCTTTATATCCACGCGAGTAGGTGAGACTATGCTCTACAACTTTCGTTCAGACTTTGTCGGCTAACTTTGAATTTATTTTTATTATTTATTTTTAGTAGGCCGAGATAAGAAAACTCCGTTATAAATTCATAATTTCTTCCTCCGACGTCTGTTTTCGTCTGTCTTTTTACCGTTGCACTACTGTCAACAAGATCTTCGATTCTTGTTTAGATTGTTTTGGCTAAAAACCGATCGATCTCAAATCGAGTATTCAGGCTGTATATCGCTAAGTCGAAACTTAGAAAAATCATAACTTACTCATACGAAGTCGGATTTCAACGTTCTTTTTATGCACAGTCAGGGTTTAACGAACTCTACGACTTTCGTTTAGATCGTTAAGGCTAAATATTGCTCTAGCGTAAATTCACTTTTTACGTCATTCAGCGTCGTGTCAGTTCTATCGCGAAATTTCGACAGATAATAACTTCTTCGTTATAACTCGGATTTCAACGCTATTTATATGTACGGAATCCTTGTAACGTATACTACAACTTAGTTAAGATTATTCCTTCAAAATAATCTTCCATCAAAAAGTCATTTTTGACGCTTATTGTCCTTAAATTGACTATCCCTAATCTATGGACGTTACATTTTAGGTGTTCTCATTTGATCCTACTCACACGCGCGCACGCACGCACACACACACACACACACACACACACACACATATATATATATATATATATATATATATAAGGTTAGGATTAAAGGTGAATGATATATATTATGTGAGTGTATGACAAGTTTTGGACCATTAGACTTAGATGTATATATGGCTAAGATTATATGGTATACCATAATTACAATGGAACACAATACACATAAACATTTCTTTTTAATAAGAAATTAAAAATAATTATTATAAAGACATAATTTATATTTTGATTAATTCTCAATAAGGAATGTATTGAAAGAATTTATGTAACCGATTGCAACCACATTTAATTTTTGTAAAAAGAGAAGTTTAATATTATCTGTGCGTTCTTTAAAAATACGATATAATATATTCTGCATATTTAAATTCTTTAAGAATAACTTCATCATTTAGCATGATTAAATTTTTTAATAACATCAATTAGAGTATATTCTTTCAGAATTAGTGCTACCTTCGTTATTGTATTTCAATTTTGTTTATTATTGTTTGTGTATTCTTTAAGAATATGGTATATTACAGCATATATTATCGAAAATAATAGTTTGAATAAAAAAGTCTGTAACATGATTAATTTGTTATAATTGAAGAATTCTTTGAGAATTCAATAATTCTTCAAGAATATAAGGTCTAAAATTCTTTATGCTTCAACTTTTTTGGATCAATATCCATTAACATGACCACAACTAATA